GTCATCAACATAAATAAAACTTTTTGCAGGGCGCGTTGTGTACATAAGATAACAAAAATCACACATCAATAAATTCATGGCGAAGCTTTTTCATTTTTTTTTTTAAGTTCAAACCCAATAAAATATTTAAGATCATTCAGATGGTTTTGAAAGTTCGGCAATAGATAAATAAAATCTATAAAGTTTCTCTGTTGTTTTTTCGACATAAAAAAGGAAATTTGAGGAAGGTACAAAAAAATATTTTCTTTAGTAAGTTTAATATAAATTACAATTGAAAATCTATTATTAATATTTATTTATATATGTTGGCCTAGAAAGCTGAACAAATGACCCACAGGCCAATGGCTGGTATTACAGAGGAAAGAAAAAAACAAATAAAATAAAAACATACTTTGCTCCACTCTGTTTCACATAATTCCAAAACTTCAAATGCAATCGCATTTGTTCTTTTTTTGATTGCACGCGAATTTAGAAGACACTTGATTCGTTTCCGTATGGATTCACTTCATTTGTCGCTTTCATTGAAGTAGATATGTGTGGAAAAGCATGTATGTTGTTAGATAGTTTGTTAAGTTGGCACTTTTCACAGTCTTTAATTTTGTAAGGGCCTGTTCACAACTTCAAGTGCCGCTGCATGTTTGTAAACACAAAAATATGTAAATGACTTCATGCATCTAAACAAAGTTCTTGGCATGAATATGGACAAATGAATCGAATGGAATGGGAATGAGCCGATTGACATATATTCGAGAAGTGCGCGGACTCATTAATGTTACTTAACGCTGATGCACTCTCTGCATCCCATTTAGCAACCATATGCAATTGTTTAGATATGCATATATATTTGCAAGACTAGCAATTGGAATTTGAAATAGAAATACAAAATTTCCAAATGAAATTTTGAAAATGGACGGCATGGATTATGATTTGAATTTCTTTATTTACTTTTAATGTTGACTAATATCAGCCTATACAGAATTGTACAAGAATAAAATAAATTCCTAACTTTAAATAAGAAAAATACGACAAATTTATACAAATAGTATGAATTAGTTAAGATGCCCAGCCACAAATGCATGCGGAAATGTTATTTCCGGGACAAAAAGTTTATAATTCATTTCGTAATGATAGAAATAGAGAATTCTGATTTAATTACATGATAAATTTTATTGTAATCATTACAGAGTACTCGATCAGGTTCAGGCAAAGGTTAAAAGAAAGTGTACAAAAATTAGGTTTACAGGTCTAATTAAATACAGTATAAAGTTTCTTGGTCGTATAAGGGTCATCAAATGCATCCGACCAAAGCTTGATAAAACCAAAAACTTGAATTACTTTGTTGACAATGAATCACTCAGTTTGCAAGAGTATGCATTAACTGATTGGATTTTGAAATGTACTCCCTTTTCCCTTACTTTTACAAAACACGGTTGCAGTTATTGCAGATTTCTCGAAAAGATTCATGTTAATATTAATTGGTAGCACATCGATGCCGAACAAGGTTGCAGACGGAAACAGAAAACTTAACTTATTAAATCATTTATTTAATTTCTTATACTTTAAATTAAAATTTAAATATTCGTTTTCAATTTTATATCGTTTCCTTTGCCACCTTGATTTTAATTAAAAATGTTCTCAATCTTCGTAAATTTTTTACATTTCTTAGTCCACATTAAATAAATAAATAAATAAAATTAAATTGTCTCATAATTTCATCATTTAGTAAAAATATTGTATTTAAACAGTGAATCAATTAATGAAACTAAATTTGCTCTGTAATCTAAAGGAAATGATTTCACATTTTAATAATTAAACTAAAAAGTTTGAACTCAAATTATATTTTGCGTTTTGTGACCTAATTTTCGAATATTAATAATCTGTCAATTGATATTGTAGCAACGAAAAAGGGTTATGCTCATCTAGTCAGTGCCAAATTGGGTGTTCGCGAGTGATTCGTAGACCGCAAAGGTTATTGGTTATGCTCTATATATCAAATCGATGAGTAGGAGATGGTTCTCGTCGATTGCTAAAGTATGCAAAAAAAAAAAACAACAAAAAATAAAATAAAACAAGAAAGAAAATTAGGCAATGCCCATTTTGGATAATGTGGGGTATTAGTAGCTGAGCCCAATAACGAAACATTCACTTTGAAAATTATTCACCATGAAGGTCAATACTATGACTATTTCAGACGAATATCTATTCATACAATATAGTATTGACAAATGTACAATAAATGCATGTGTATAAGTATACCAGCTGGGTGAAGTTCTGTGGGAGCTTACTATGAGAAGAACACACCCTTCTCGAAATACATATCTACTCAAAAATGTCCAAATTATATACATTTAAACGATTCCAAATTTTGCTCAGGCCATTGTGCTCACATTCGCTATCGTTTGGTTTTGTGTTTTATTTTATTATTATTTTTTTTTTTGGTAGCATGGTCACGGGCGATTTGGTTCACAGTTGGCTAGTTGTATTTTCCAGATAGATCTGTGTTCATTGATCTTTCTACTTATTATGTTTGGTTTGTTTCAAACAGCATATTTTAAATATGTGCTCATATGTATATATATTTTTGTTCATGGCACGTAAAATCTTGCTTCATTTGACACTAAATTTGATACGGCTTATTAATAGAAAATAATTTCCGGCTTTCACGGCCCCAAAATATGCATCGTTTTTATAATGAGTTGGAAGACAATGTGGCGAAAATTAAATAGTATCAGTATTCAATGGGGTCGGTGATGCTTCCTTTATTTTTTTTTTACACATTTTTAATGGATTTAGAGCATACAAATATTAATTTTTTTAAGTTTTTTTTTAGATGTGTAGATCCGATGAATTGATTTATTTACGGAGCCTATCCCAAAGTTAGAAACTAAATAGCTTTTTTGGCATGGCTTTCAGCTAAGTAATTAATAAGCAATTTTATTAATATTAATGTAGTAATGTGTATTATTAATTATAAAATACATTATCATTATAATTATATGCTTTCAAATGTGTTTTTTCTGTAGTAAGCTAGTTTTTTAAATAATATTTTTTGCTATAAATGCAGGGATTAAATATAATATTTGCTTTGAATTTACTTTGGGTGTTTATCTTTCTTTTATTTAAGAAAGTGCAATATTACTTATATTATTATATATATATATATTATTAATATATTAAATCTAAACATAAATTAAATTTGATAAGAAAGTGCAAATACGAAAGCAATCAGAAATAGCTAAAAGATGGGAATGCTTGAGTTAAAATTATTTTTTGTGGCTCTTTTTACTTATATATTTAATCAAGTATATGCATATGTATATACTCAGTAATACATACATATACATATGTACATGTACGTATATTAGCTCATTCGATCTAACGACTTCCGATGAACTAGCGATAATATTCTCTTTTCATCCCGAAAATTTGTGACGCTATCGCAAAAAGTCAATCTACGCAGTTAATTTGGTCGCACCCGACATTGGGAACACTGAGTGCACACACACACACAGATATACACACACACTTAGACAATTTGCCGATGTAATGTTTCGTTTTTTGAGCTGATCGGCGCTGAGTTGAGTTGAGCCGAGTTGAGCTGAGCTCATTATAAATGAGGGATGGGCGTGTCAAACTCTGTCGCAGCCAGCGCAAATTACGAGCAGATTAATGATCACATGTTTCAATGCGTTCTTTCTTCGCCCGTTGGTGTTTTTTGTTTTTGTTCTAGGCTCAGCTATGCGTAAAAGCATCCGCAAGGGAAATAAGCTGTGTGTGTAGCACATAAGTATGTGCTTATATTATATGCATGTGTTGAAATCTATTCAGACACTCGTACGTATGAGTAATATAATTATATTTTATAGTTGACATACTATTGCTTACATACTCTCCAATCAATTAATTTCGTTACTTTATGATTTGATAAGCTAGACAAGAAAAATAAACTATGTGAAAATAAATGAAACCTCACAGTTGTAATTGTGAGCTTCGAAAGAAAACAATTGAAAACTGTGCAAATTAAAAATGAATATAATAAATTGAAAATTGTCTCTAGCCGGTTTTACTTAGAAACGAGTTTATCCACTGGGCTGATGGACTTTGAAAAGCGTTTGACTGTAGCTTGTGGTATTTCACTGCTCTGCCCATTTTCACATTAATTAACTTAATTGATTTTATTTTATCGCAAACATTTCACAAGGGATGGCATCGCCAGGGAATCGCTCAATAAAGAGACAATAAATTTTTATTTATTTATTTAATATAGACTTATTGCAAAATTATAAAATGTGGTAAGTTAGTCTTTCTGCGGGAGAAAAGCGTTGTTACGAAATTTTCTGACAAATTTTCAAGAAGGTTTCTAGTAATCTGGTAACTCCAGCTTTTAAATTACGGGCAAGGTAGGCTTTAGCAATTTTTAAAGGGCGGAAGTGGGAGTGGCCTGAAAATCGTTTTAGCCATTGTGAAAGTTATGCAGTTTTATTGTTGGGTATTTTCAGATACTCGGATTTGGAGGCGAAAGTGACGAAATACTTGATTTCAAATATAAAAAACTCAATAATAATAAATAAAACATTTTTCTTGTAAAATGATGATAATGAAACATTTATTGCAAGGATAGGAGAAACCCCAAAAAACCAAGCAGACAATTTTAGTGATTGGAAATAAGTGATGTAAAGAAAATAGAAAGTTAAGAAAAGTGTGTGTGAGAGAGAGAGAGAGAGAGAGAGAGCGAGGGACTGGGGGAAAAGTAAAAAGATATAGAAAAGTATATGAACGTGTAGAATTTCATAAATTGACCTAAGCTAAACAATTTTAAATTTAATTAAAGATATAATGCAATTGCACACATCTTAGTTTTTTAAAGTTACTTTTTAAAAAATAACTTTATAAATTTATAATTTCAGATAGCGCTTAATAATATTTAATATGGTAACCTTGTTAGTTCTAAGTTCTTGAATAAATAAATATATATTTTATCGTTTCTTATTCTCTTTCAGATTGTAGTTACATACCTATGTAGTCCGAGAGTTTAGTAAATGCAATACAATGGCAAATTATATTTATTTATTCAAGTAAGTACTGGATTCAGGAACTTAAAAATGTACATGTATAAAGATTATATATTTTTGCAGAATTTGCCTGATTGTGGCAGCTTTAATACAATTAATCGTAGCGGACACATCAACCTTAGAACGCATCAGGGTAAGTTCCACTATATATTTTATATTGCGAGTTCAATAGATCTATTTTTTATTTTGTAGAAACATCAAGAATGGCTGAATCGACACAACAAACTGAAATCGGATAAAGTGAAGTACCCCAAATGGAAATCATCTTTCGAGCCGGCAAATTTATGGCGCAGAAATAAGCCAGCAACAACAACGAACCAAAATGCAAACATCAATGAGGCATATGCGGAAAACGAGACGAGCTTTGCTAATAGTAATATTAATGCTGGATTGAAGCCCACAATTATCACAGAAACGACGGCACAACAAATCAATCATACCATGTCATCAAAGATACCAGATGCGTTGACGACGGCTGAATCAATTATCGAGACGAAATCCCTGAAACCAGAGTTGGCAACGATGCGGACAACTTTGCCAGAAGTCTCCTCAACTACTACAACTACAACTTCTACTACTTCGAGTACAACTTCTACGACAACTAAGAGGCCCAAGCCGAAGGTGCGACCCTTTCCCAGATGGGCCAATTGGAATCCCTGGAGTGACTGTTCACGCAGCTGCGGAGGCGGCATAATGCATCAGACACGCAAGTGCATTGATCGGTAAGTAACTACTATGCTATATATAATAAGTATATATAAAAGCCTAAAAGAGTGCATGCTGAAGTAAGAATGCGGTAGTCGACTGAGCTCGTCAATGAACACAGTTGTTAAATATATTCTACTTTTATTGCCAAATTTGTTTCTTTTAAATGTTTGCACAAATTGGAGTTGATCATTAATATGTCAAGGTATATTATTTATCGGTTTGTTAAAATTGTGATCTTTTATTGCTATGCTTAAACGATATGTATCTTTAAACGATAAGCATTCGAAAGCAAAACGAAGGCAGTTGTAAACCTGATCTGCACGTGGTATTCAAGAAATCCAAACTTGAAGTCTCTAGCCTTATAGACTTCGTACAGGCGGACATGGTTGTAACGACTCGGTTCTTGATGCTGATCAACAATATATATACTTTATGAAGTCATGCTGCCTTTTCCCTGTTACATACATAAAATATTAAACATTTGATGGTATTCAAATATAAAATGCTCCAATAATTATGGCAAGGATTGGGAAAACCCGGAAAAAAATCCCCAATCGTACCAAAAATTGTTAAAAGTTATTAGCTTAGTAATGTACAAAAACAATGACCCGTTAGATTGAGAGGGAGATAGAGATAAATAACGAGATTAACAAATGACACAAACCAATTTGTGCAAAGTGCAATCAGTTGTGCGTGAAGGCAAATAGAAAGTGGCCAAAGTTTCCCAGGAGGTTATACTAGGTACAGAAAAGTTAAGATGACCTAAAATAAAAGAGGAAGTCTCCAATAATTAAATGATGTTGTAAAATAAAACTGAGTAATGTTCTACGGTTAATGTGCATCGAAAAATAAATAAGAGGAAGCCTACTGGAGACTCGGATACCAGTTAAGGCCAATTCTCAAGGTTCTGAGGAGAACATATACATGAACAATATTCTTCAAAGGTGTTGTTTTGTACAATCTCTAGATTCTAAGAATCAATAAAAAATATATTTGCACTCCTGAGTCACCGAAAATTGTAATTAATTGGTTCATTTTGTATTTATATGAGAGCATTTTGTATTCATCAGAGTAAGTTGTGATCGGTGCAACGTGAATAATTGTTTTGTCAATTTGCAATTCTAATATAATGACGTCAATATTAATGATACACATAAATCATATGGTAAATCGACTGCTTGAGTATGGCATTTTAGAGGCAGGTCACGCGACTTTGATTGTTTTTATCATGATCTGCGTGACGTTCTTAACTACAGAATGATGAACTGAAATGTTTTTTTTTTTTTGTATTGCAATAGGCCACGTATTTATGCCTGTAAGTATAAAGGGTAGTTCCATGCTGCGGGTTTGGATTGTTGACTCGTTTATTGCTACAGGTAGTTGAAAACTGTTCATATTTAGTCATCGTAGGCAATTTTAAACTGGTTTTTACCTTGAGTTTGATGTTTTTGAGTCACTTTACCTGTAAAGTAATGTATGCTAATTATTTTGTCAACATTTAAGATATATGTTTGTATTAGTCGAATATGACTTAAAAGTAAATGATAATCACACATAGTCGATAGATATATTACTCTTTTCTCTAGTCAAATTTCTCTATATATTTTACTAATTTTAAGATTTTGATGCTAATCAATTTTATTTGCTTTCGCTAAATATGGCAATTGTTTTAAATACAAAAAAAATAACACCATTGGTCCCGCTGTCAAGTTAAAGGGTATTTTGTGATTGTTCACTGAGCCAACGTATTCATTTTGTATTTTTCCATCCAACGTACATAAATAATCAATTTTGTGTTTTTATTTATCCACAACTCTTAAATAGATAATTATTGATTTAACTAATCCACTTTGTGTGCGAAGGTTTGCCTCGTAAAATCCGAAGAAATATCTTAATGCGGAAAACCTGTATACCTGTATATAAAGAAGAAATTGTATATTTTTGCCGTTAGTTCAAAAAGAAATTAAGTAATCAGATCTCGCTCTGCTTCATTGCCCCTAATCGGGGAATAACTGAATATTTAAGCGAACCCATATACATATTTTCTGAATATGTTTTTTAGAAGTTCCTATAGCCAAACATTTCAACGGGTATTTTGTACTTTTAGATATAAACTAGATCTATGTCTACTGTTAATCAAAATGATATTTAACGAATATTGGGCAAGTATGAAATTCAAATAAATTTGTGGGTACTGAAGATTTATATAGATACTTTTGCCATACAATAATAGCCATATATATATGTATGTATATACTGTTTACAGGGTATTTTAAAGCCATGTAATGTTGTGTACATTACGCTTACTTGTCTTACTTGTCCCACACTACTTTTTGGACTTGTTTTGAGTTAAAAAGAAATCGCAGCAGCGCGAGAAAAGCAACAAACACAAGGCTCCATTCTGAACAATGCCAGACTTTGTACGCTTGTTTTGATGACCGACTAAAATGAATATAAAAAAAACCCCACCACTGAGAACTGATTGAGGTATAAATACGAGAGCTGACTTTTAAAAAGCGTGAGTTTCCGGCAATCAGCGCGTTCGTTCAAGTTGCTCTGCACATATTGGTTTCACTCCACAAAATGTCCAGATTCGTATTTCAAATTTGCCTTCTGTCGCTGGCAGTTGTGTGCGTCCTGTCGGAGGATCCTTCCGAGGGACTGAACATTCACATTCGCGGCCAACTGCAGGAATACGAGAAGTTCCTGGCCAACGACGATGGCTCCCACAAGGAGGAGTTAAAGAAGCTGATCACCATCTACGAGTCCGCACTGAAGACTGAGAACTACGATGAGAAGAAGGCATTGATCGATGGTGTTACGAAGCAGTTTTCGCAAGAATTCGGTGCTTTTGTCCAATCCCATTTGCTCGATGACGAACTCATCGAGGATATTCACGATGCCATCAAATTCTATAAATCTCTCAAAGTGGGTCCCGAACTTAAGGATGATATTGTGAAAATTGTTGGCCAACTCGAAGCACTTGAGAAACTCACCGATGTTGAGGCGAAGAGGAACGGATTGGCCAACCTGGAAAAGAGCTTCAGGCCTGAGTTTGTCCAATTCCTCAAGAATGACGCTGTGCCTAAGATCAACCACGATCTGCAAGAAGCCATCACATTCTTCGAGAAACTCTTGGCTGATCCTCAGACCCAATATGCCACCGAAATCAAAGCCCTGAAGGTCCAGGCCACTGGTGCCCTCGCCGATACAGTCGATGCCGATGATAAACAGAAGACGCTCTACGAGATCAGAAATCCTCCCAACCCGCAATTGATCGAATTCTTGAAAATGAAATTCGCAGAACTGAACTAAGATTAAAACTCTGTTATCATCTCTCGAATTCATTGTTGATATCTTAAGTGAAGTTTAAACTATGATTTATCATCAGCATTTGTCTAAAATAATTTAAAAAAAAAGAAATAAAGTTAAAAGATATACAAAATAAATTTCGTTTTACAGTTATTTATGCCCAGAAAGATGTTGTGGGTTTATCCAATTCTCTGAAAAAATATGCAAAATATATTAATATAGTGAGCAGTCTCGAATGTATAATAACAAAAACATATTGAAATATATGTTGACTATACATATACTAAAATTATTTATATATATGTATGTATGTATATATATTTGAGGAAGCAATCAAATGTTAAATATATTATGGTTTTCAGACTTTCAAGACTCTTGAATAATAAAAAGTCGAAATGATCTGATAAAAGTCTTAAGTTGCATTTATCTTTGATGTTGTGCTAACCTTTGATTTGGATTTTGCAGAAATTCTACATCAGGTAGAGTATATACGAGTGATACTTGTGTCGGCCTCTCCAAGCGCTATCAGATATGCAATGACCTTCCATGTCCAACGGAATCATTCGATATTCGTGCATATCAATGTGCTGCATACAATAAAGTTGATTTCCAGGGTCATCAATATAACTGGGAGCCTTACATAAAAGGTATGTATGAACCATATATAACCAACATTCATATTTACATATATACACTCGGAAAAAAAGTCAAATTGATATTTAGAAAATCGCCCATAAGCTAAACCCTTGCTGAAAACTAGAAAGTTATTGTTTTTTTTTAAATAATTTACAAATATAAAAACAATTTTTTTTTTTAAATTAGAAAGTTTATATTTTTAGGAATAGAATAAGAATAGATTTTTCTAAAATTTACATACAAATCTAATTTCCTGGTTGTTGTTTTTTATTTATCTTACACAGAATTTGTACATTAGCTTTTTTCCTAGAAGGTATTTCTTCCTAAAATATTGGTTTGCATTTCAATTTTTCAGTCAAAACTATGGCTTTTATAAAGGCATAGTAAAATATAATTTCTAAATAACAGGAAGTGTTACCACCTGTTGGCTCCAAAAGTATGTAAATTTTCAAAATTTCAGAGCGATTTTTTTTCTAAGTGTACATATGTATAAGCATTGTCTATTTTAATCAGAATTAACTTACAATCGATATTTCTTTATCAGACGATGCCGAATGCGAGCTGAACTGTAAGCCGTTGGGCATGAAATACTTTGCTACACTGAACGATACCGTTATTGATGGAACACCTTGCCAACGTCCAGCAGAATATTATCGCTCCAAGTCGACTTATGCGAGCCGCGCAATGTGTGTCGATGGCATTTGCAAGGTGAATGTTAATACTATTACAAGTAGTTGCGGAGATTAAGTTCGCTATCAACTCGAACAGTAGTAGTACCATTAATTAACAAGTAGCCACATTTCGATACTTGTTCCATTAGTTATCATATACCCTAGGACAATTAAAAATAGCTTAAGTGGGTATATTGGATTTGTGCAAAAGTATGTAACAGTCAGAAGGAAGCATCTGCAATTCCATAAAGTATATGTTTATTCTTCTGATCAAGGTCAAAAGCAAGGTCGTATGACCAAACGGATCTCAGAGACTATAGAAACTGAAGTCTTCTAATTTGCAATGCTACGCGCAGATCCAGCTTATTTCATTGTATCGATAACTTTTTTGCGAATATCGATATATATATATATCGATTATGAAAGCAGTACCAAGCTCGAATTTGTATGTTAAAGTTTTACAATTAAGTTATTATATAAGTTGATTTATTATTGATCAAATGTAAAAATTTGATTAAGATCGGATAAGAACCAACCATATCATGGCCCGAAGAGTGTTCTCATCTAGAAATCATTTTCTGCATGCATAAATTTGTGTGAGAACAGCATGATAATTAAAGCTGGCGTATTTATGGATATGTATTCTGCAACGCCCCGAATTGATATATGCAAAAAGTTTGCAGGTTTCTCGCGTTTCTCGGAAGCCGTTCAGTTTGGGTTTTGGAAGATAAATTTGACAATATAATTGAAACTAGTGTTAGTATTTGACAATTAAGTTCAGTGTATCTCGTAGTCGAGTTCTTTCGTCTGGAGCATTTTACTTGTTTTGTTTACGCGTTTGTAAATGCAAATGACTACAAGATCGTGATTAGTTATTCATTGTGATCGGTTACAGCGCACACAAACTCAATTAATACAAATAGCTGCTCTTCTTTATGATTTTGCTATTTTCCATACATTTCTTGGAATAGTCACATCATTTTTTAGTACACGAAGTCAACTCTATGTGTGTGTGTATGTGTGTGTGTATGTGTGTGTGTGTGTGTGTGACTAAACTATCAATGCTCTTGAAAGCATCGGAATAACAACAAGAGCGCCAGCCCGACCAATTGCTTGTGCATGTGTGTGTTTGTGTGTATGTGCACACTCCGAGGTATGAAAAAAACTCTTTAGAAATAAATGAATCGCTTTGCCGAATATTTTAGTAAGCAACGCGAATCGAAGCACGCAACACATGCGTATCCGTGTCTCTGAGAATCGCGCTCGCCGCCGCAGCATAATAATTATATTAAGACATCAAACCAGTTAAATTGTATTTTGAGTTAATCGAAATCCGATTTAAATAAATTAAGTCTGACAGTTTTGAGTATTACATGCTCATCACTGAGCAATAAAAAACCAAATGCTCGATTTAATGCATTTATCTTGTCATTTTAATTAGTGTCATTGAGTGATTTTTACATATTCAATATATATGTGGGATTTCTTCTCCAAAAAACTTTATTACTGAAGTTCATAACTAAAGTGGCATTGTAATTTGTCCTTAAAATATATTCTACAATTTTTGGAATTTTAATTGCTGCTTTTTTTTTTGGCAATTTATCCAAAACACTTGAGAATTACACTTGAAGACATTATGCCTACAAATGAATATAGACATACTATATGTATAATATACAATTACGTAATTTAGTACATTACTTAAATTGTACAAAGACTTTAATTAGTTCCATTTGCCGCCTCCTACAAAATTAGGCCTATTGTGTATTTTATTAAAATCCAAAACTACGTCATTCTTTGTTTTTCACATCCAAATGAGCATTTTTTAATTGATGATTTAATTTGAATTCTTTCAATGACTAAACTAAAATCGGCCTTTGTATTCTTTGTAATGGAATGTTTGTGGCTCTTCTTTGTTAAAGCTATTTTAATTTTACACTTGTGTATATCTCTGGTGCATCTGGTTGTACTTCCAATTCCAATATTCCAGTTTGCATTTGCAGCCTTTATTGACCTTCTGAAACCAGACAAAGGCTAAGAGCAAGGAGTATTATTTTTATTGAATATGCACTGAATAGCATTTAATATTTCAAAAATAGTTATTATTAATATTAATATATAATACAAATATTATTATTTATATTATATAAACAAGTGCAAGATTGAAAGTAAGGTCATCTATTCGTCGTCGACAAGATATTCAAAGGTGTTTACAAATCCATTTGCAAATAAGAATCGTTTAGTTGACGTGCTGGAGGATACTACATGGTTTTTATATTTTTTCATTTCACACACGCTCTAAAGTATGCTACAAAAGGATAGTTACAGGGTGTTATCACGTCTACGACTGCGAAACTATTCCAAACTTCTCAGCGTAGAAATTGGTTTTATTTAGCATGCGAAAGAAATAAAAATAAAACTTTTTGTCGTATTTTATTGGCTTTTTTGCTGTCAGAATCACAGATGAGAATGGAAAATAAAAATGATTCTCTCTAGACAGTATATTTATTTATTGAAGAGTTGAAGATTTTGAAATAAGATTTTCAAAAATTACAATTTAAAGTTTAAGATATAAATGACATGATATAAATTTAAAAGTGAATAATTGAATTTAAATTTAAAATTAATCAAAATAAGATAAAGGATATAATAAATCTGGAAGTAATAAAGAAGTTAAGCATTTTAGGTGATCTTCTCTCTGCTTATATGTAAACTATGTCTAATTAAAAGTATTCTTTATAAAATTTGGAATTGTGACTGAATTGTCAGTCTTGCCAAATGGTTCAAATCGCTGTTCAAATACATTTAAAGGTCCAATTAAATATGAACTTTTAATAATGACAGCCGATCCTTATTTTGGACCAATCAGCAATCGAACTGATTGTCGGAGATCAGTATGAAAATTGATTGGAAATTATAAAAGAAAATTGCATTCTCGTTGGCTTTAAATTCGTGTGAATAGGGTTTGCAAAAAAATAGTTGTGTTTCTTACTTATTTTACGGAACCATGCCATATTGCACATTACTTTTTGCTCATTGCAATAAAATTGATATACCCCTTACACACATGGTAGAGGGTAGAGAAAAGCACTTTAATCTCGAGCTGGTCGCATCATAAACAACCAAGTGAGTCTGGGCTGGGCCAACTGAAATGTGGCCATCGTAAAATTGCAAAAGTGCGTCAAATGCTGCCGTTGTTGCCTGTAGATTTTGATGCCATTAAATTGGAATAATCTCTCGCTTCGGGACATGCAACACGATGATAGCCGTCCGGCAGCAACTACACCAGCAGCAGCACCACCACTCAGCGATCAGCCATTTGCTGTTACAAGTTTATCACAACTTCAATATGAATGTTGGCACTTTAGATTGGATATTGGCATTTTTGTCCCGGAAGTGAATACAAATCCAAAGCTGTTTGCTTTTCACCTTCGCCCACAATTGCTTGTATTGTATTTTAATTGAAATATATAAATATACATATTTTTGTTTCGCCATCATTTATACAACAATAAAAAGAAGAAAAGAAATACATACCCACATACTCAAACAAATATAAATAGGCTTGTTTATATAGTGCGCTGACATCGACTATAAATCAAACAATTAATCGACGCATAAACAGAAAAACATTTAGCAGCCAATCGTCGAGATCACCTTGCATACATAAACATATAATACTTAATAGTGTACTATATATACTATATAGTTGTGCGGAATGCCTTGGCTCTGGCACTTGGCGTTAACTTGGCTGGTGAGTCAATTTAGACATCTGTCGAGAGCTGTTTCGATTTCATTTCATTTCATTTCTTTATTTGTTTGACTCGACCACTGTTTTCCCCGTCAATATGACAAAGGCATGCTTTGATTTGTGTCAATTTAAATCAATTATACCATAAACATTGATTTCATTTCAGGCCTTGCTTGCCAGTGGCTCCATCAAGGGCCTCTATGCCAATAGCGGTTCCGTAAGCTGTGGCGGACTGCTCTGTCGTCCGGTGACTGGCATCTTCACACGCGATCCATTGCCGGAGGATGCGTATGTCCATGTGGCATCAATACCCGCTGGCGCCTCGAACATCTCGATTACCGAACTCAAAAACAGTGCAAATCTACTTGGTAAGCTGAAAACTTGACATTACTAATTAATTATAGTCAAACTGCTCCAATTTGAGCTGAGCTCCAGTTCCGATAAAAAATTAATGGAAACGGCATCGATTTTTGTTCGAAATTTGATGATCGATTGTGAAATTTGTTAAATAAAAAAATTAATTGTTATCGAAAATAATATCGTTGGGATTTAGAAATAACCATTTGAACACGATACGGAATTGTATTAGAAATAGTTTTGAATTTCATGAGCAACCGGAAACAGGCAAGAATGAATAATAAACCGTTTTGCACTTTCCAAAATTATTTGTTATGCTTGGCAACCTAATTAAATATATTATTTTAGTATTTAATTAAATGTAATATAATTTAAATTAAAAATTCGCTGATTTCAAGTCAAGTGTCTGTAATTGAATCATTATCTAAACGAAAACGGCACTATTTCAATTTAATTCTTCGATAAATTTAGAATTCAGTTGGCATTCTTTTGGATTCTTTGGATTGACTGTAAACAAATTAGACAACAATTAATATCTTAAAGTTTCAAAAACGTATTAATCAAACCGAGCAAATTTGCATTTGTTTAAACTATGGAAACAAAATGATATAGAATTTAGTTTATAAGTGCTATTTCCACCCGACTTTTATTTGAATTAAAAGAAATTCCACTTCGACTGTGATTTATTTTTGTATATTTTTCAAAAATTGCATAGTCCTGCGCACTGGCGAACAGAAGAGCATCTTCAATGGCGAAAATGAGGTGTCGGAGAGCGGATCGTATGAGGGGGCAGGAGCAACTTTCGACTATCATCGCATTGATGGAGTTGAGCAGGGCGAGGGTGTTACGGAATGGATCACATGCACTGGACCCATTAGCGAGCCCGTAGAGCTCTTGGTATTGCAAACAAATCGCATAATTGAATTGAAATTATATTATTAAATATTACGATTGACGTCATTATTCTATCTCTCTCTCTCACTCACACGCACAGGTCTATAGTAATATACTGAATCCAGGCATTAAATACGAGTACCTGCTGCCCATCGTATCGGACTCCGAGGAGAACGAGCTGTCGCTGGAGAGTAGCGACGGTTTCTTGAGATCTGGCGGTGGCATGGAGGATGGCAGTTACGTGAGCAGCACACGTTCGGGACGTAGGCGGAAGTTCAACTGGAAAGTGGTCGGTTTCAGTGCCTGCACCAAATCCTGTGGCGGTGGCACCCAATCCCCCATAGTACGCTGTGCCCGCGAGAATCCTGTTCGCTATTACTCGCAGCGCCGCTGCAGTCACTCGGAGAAGCCAGTGCTCAACGAGAACCTGCTGCACTGCAACACTCAGCCGTGTCCTGCATATTGGCGCCACGACGAGTGGGGCGAGTGCCGCTGCCAGCACGGTGAATCGGTTCGCCGGCGTGAACTGAGCTGTGTGCAGGAGCTGGCTTCAAGCATTGTGATCCATGTGGACAAGGCTGCCTGCATGGAGGAGCAGCCGCCCAGCGAGAAGCAATGCGAGTGCCCCAAGAGTCGTCGTCGCAACTTCTCCCGTTATCGCATGCATCCCCACGTCGATTCGACCAATGGCACACATCTGATGCGGCACCGGGTACCCAAGACTGTGGGCGATGCCGTTTGGCTTATGTCCGAGTGGAACCAGTATTGTTCCTCTGCCTGCGGACCGGGCATTCAATATCGCACCATATTCTGCGATCGACCCAAGACAAAAACTGAGCGCTGCGATGCCCGTGACATTCCCGAGAATCGACGACCCTGTGAGCAGAGTGCCTGCGAAATGGGCGAGTGGTTCGCTGGACCCTGGTCACCTTGTAATGGAGACTGTTTCAATTTGACCCGTAGCCGCACTGTGCTCTGCATTAAGAATCAACTCATCACTGATGATGACGAATGCAAGTTGGAGCTGAGACCACAGCCACTGGAGAATTGTTCGCACGAAGAGAATGAGTATTGTGCTCCTCGCTGGCATTACTCCGAGTGGTCGGAGGTAAGCTATAAATCTATACTTAAACTACACTAGGAATTGGGTTTCTGTATTCTGACTTCTATAAAATATATTAGTATAAGAAATTTTATATTTAAAAAAAAATTAGATCTTTTTTTTAGAGAATTTCTTGCGGGAATGTCGGGATTATAGAGAATATCAGTTTTTCGGAATTTTCTTGCCTCCTAGTCACGTATATATTCCTTTTATGTATGCTAATTTATTTTTATAGTGCACCAAATCCTGCGACGGAGGCACTCAGCGACGCAATGTGAGATGCCTGGAATACGATGAAAAGCAGAATGCATTGCGCGAATCTAATAAATGCAGATACGCAGTGAGGGAACCCATCTTTCGTAACTGCAACGCCCAGAAATGTGAAGGTAAGCCTTGGCATTAGACTATCTATAATATATATATTAATAGCATGGTATATTCGAGCAGATCTGAATAACGAACTGCTGCAAAACGATGAAGCTGGCGCCGCATGCATGGATAAATTTCCGAACTGCAAATGGGCTGTGCAGGCGAAGCTTTGCACCTATGAATACTATCGGACCAATTGCTGTGAATCCTGCATGCAGCTGCATTAAATCGAATCGAATCAAGTTGGACATATTGGGCTCTGGATAGGAAAACAAAAAGTAGCTTTATTTGTTGCGGAAACGAAATCAGTGATCTTTATAAAGCAAATTCTAACATCTATTCATAAATGTTCATTAGTACATAATATGCATATACATACATATATACATACATACATATACACATATATGATAAGCATGAAGATTTACAAGAAACATACCTAGCCACAAATTCTCAGTATGGATTCCAATTTTACATACGAGTGCATTTACATTTATTAATACCTTACCACATAAGTACATTAAAGCGTAAAAACAATAATAATAACAGTCTACTAAACATATCTCACAAACGAAAAATGTTGACCTGAAGTTGATGGAAGTGCCACACTTAAAGATATTATATAAATTTCTTTTAACTTTATAATATGAACTGCATTTTTTACTTATGTATACAATGGGTTTAGTTTGAGTATCAGGTTAATTTGCATTAATTTGTAAATGTTTATATGGACATATAAATTCCACAAATTAGATGCTCAGATTAAAGTTAAAATTTTATATATTATAATTTAAAAAAGGAACGAAAATATGATGGCATTTATTCGTTGATAAGGAATTTCTATCGTTTTTATTCGATGGGATGAAAGTCTGGTCTTTGAGATAGCCAGCCCATAATGGGAATATTTTCGTTCTGTAAAAGTTATTTAGCGGTATTCGCTGAATGTTTAATGTCATTGTAGTGAAAATAAGTATACTTTACAGGAATATTCCTCTTTCTAAAATGTAAAAATACTAAAACTAGTCTATGCTGTCATTATTTCACTTTAATCTAGCTTCTATCTCTGCTCTTCCAAAAACACAAGTTTTCAAGATTTGACAGGCCACAGAGCAAAGCTTCATTGAATCTTCACGAGATTAGTTTTCTATCTGCTTTGTTTATTTCCATACAAAAAAAGAACATACTCTTTTTTACAATGGGCCACTTTTTATTTAAATTATCATGTATATTCTAGTCAAAAGCTAAACAGGCTCATTGATTATTACTTCAGTCGGTTGATAACCGAAATTGTTAAATATGCAGCCTGTCTGCAAGTATAAGGATAAAAGTAAGCTTTGCGCCAATTGGTTTAATCAGATTTGCGCCGAATGCCGATCGCAGTTCCCAAGAACCAGTGTTAATAAACCCGCAAAAGAACAAGCGGGGGACGGGTTAATAAGCGCGCAGGATTGTTACAAATCGATAAGAAGAGGTGCGGAATCCCTTAATAACAATCCGTATGGTAAAGATGATATTTGGTGGAAAGTGCCACTTGCCTTACTCATTTTCGGGTGTATTCTGCTGCTTTTAATGGTAATTTGCTTTGGTTGCCAAAAAGTTGTCCAGAAAATATCAAATCGGGTACCAAATGCAGTCGACTTGGAGGTTTGTGCGAGTCCAAAGAAAAAGTCGGCTTTTTGGAATACAGAAAAATTAACAAAATAAATCGGCAGCTGCAAATATTGTTACTTACATAATGACCCATGTAATCGCTCAATCTCTAATATTATTTAAATATTTACACAAATGTACGTATTTGAATATTAAATTACATATGAAATGGATTTATTGTGTTTTATTATCGCATTTATTTAACGTGAACTTGTCACGCAATAAATCACAATGATAAATGAATCGACTAATAAATACCACTTAGCACGAATCCAGATTTATATTTACATTGATTTATATTAAAGCACATAAAACTTTATTTGTGTTTGTATAATCCATATTTATAAGCATATTTAAATAGATAATTATCGTTGGCTATTCATTATTTTGATTCAACGAGCCTGACCGCATAAAATACCCGATTGGTAAAATGTGGAATATAGAGTATTGAAATAGGTCTTTAAAGTGTTATTCACTTGCAATGCTGAACACACTTCGTTTTAGAGCTCCAAAACTGTCTAACCATGATATTTACTTTTATATCTCTGTACTTTAATACATGTTGTATTCATGGATTTCGTTACTTGGTCAATAGTATGTTAATTTTGCTTGAGAGGTATATATATAATGTGTGTCTAGTGCATTTTTGACAGACTAATAATGAAATACATTTCAGATTATTGTGGTTAATTCTATTGGTCTTATCTATATATTACTGCATTATCTCCTGTTTATCTTCGGTGGAACGTTTCCAAACGAAGAGCACCCACATCGGTCTTGAGCGGAACTCCTATTACTTCAAAACTTCGATGCCCGCCGTAACAATGTACTCATTTTGCATACTACATTTCTATACATAACTGACTGTATTTATTACTTACTTTTAGCTGTCCTATGCAACGTCTAAATAAGACATTTTTTGATCAATATTGCCTGTAAGAGTTATAAATGGGTTCACTCAAAAAAAAATCGACCAACATTTTGTAAATTCGCCGTTATCTTTTCTTGACTCAAGGGTACACATTTAAAAAAAAAAAATTAAATTTTTCCTAAAGATATCTGTCGAAAAATAACATTTAATTGACCTTTCCCGAATTTCAGAAAAGATTTTTCTTTAAATAACGGTAGAAAGCTGCTAGATTTTTCATAAAATTTGTATAGTTAAAATATTAATATTTTAATATTATTTTATAAAATAGGTCGATTTTTGATGTTGTCATTGTCGAATTTCAAACTAATAATTTCTTCACTCAATTTCAGTGGCAAGGTTAAAGGCAAAGCTAAGGATGAGCTCTTTGACTTTTTGGAAAATTTGGCCAATTCCACGTATACGAATTTTAAAGATATTCCACAATACGATAGTATTGATGATTCGCTGCAAAAATTGGATATTGAACCCAAAGACTATATGAAATTAATTTACAATCTCACGTACGACGGCACCTATGAACCCATTGAGAAGCTGCGAATTCGCTGCGTTGATGGCCAGGTGATCCTCAAGGTGAGACAGATACTCACCGAGTTTGGATTGTGTTACCTGTGCAGCTCATACTTGGGTGAGGAATATAGCTCACGTTACTTAATCTTCGGCATGTACCCGGAATCCAATAAGCACCTAACAAGTCAGCAAGTTGTGGATGTTAAAAGAGCCACATTCTTTGACAAGGATGTGGGATTCACATTAATGGGCTTCGATGTTACTGCAATCGATGTACGTATCTAAAACATTGTTTTGTTTTCAAAACAAAGATGGAATAATACTTTTTTTTTAGAGTTATATACATTCTGCTTTTGAGGTGATGAAAGTGGATAATAATTTTGGATACTCGCCCGAAGGTGCTGCCTATGAGCCTGAGGTCGAAGAAATTGTTGCTGATGCCGAACTCGAGACGTAAGAACATAAATTTTGATGTATAACAATTTGCAATGGTCTCAAGTATTTTCAATTTACAGCGAAACTTCTATAAAACAGAGAAAATGCCGATACTATCATGAATCGAATCTGACGCATTATCCATTTTATACCAAAAATACTTGCCTGCAGGAGTGTCGCATTAACTTGGCCTATAGGGTTTGTAAATGTATTCCCCACTTTTATCCCAATCGCAGTAAGTTAATCACTTTTAAATGCTGCTTTAATTGCTGCTTATGTACATCATTATTTTCATATTTTTAGTTGCGAATCCAAAACCTGTATGCTCCTACAAAATATTAAAGTCTTGTTTTGCCAACCATGCCGGTAAGATATATATATATATTGTCAAGTATAATGAGCAAATAACGCATATATCATTTTATTTTACAGGTTATTTCCTAAAATTTTACGAAAATGATATTGATGAGAAACCAGCAATCTGTTACTGTGAGCAGAATTGTATAGACGCTGTGATCAAGCTGAAAAGTGCTCTGGTATTATATTATTACGTAGATATATACTATATATATTATAGACATCATTATTTTTTATTTGTAGGCCATGCGGGGCGCTAAGCAGTTGCTTGGCAGTATGGGGAAGTTCGTTTTCCATGAACACTTGGCCAAGGAATCAATTCAAGCGGCAAGTCATCTTTTCGTTTACGGATCTTTTGGGTAAAACTAATATAGTATAGATGCGGTTATATGTTCATGACTGATAACACTGTTTTTTTATAGTTGCCATTGGCGGCACTGCGGGTCTATTTCTGGGTTTCAGCGTCTTGGGCCTAGTTGAATTCATCTACTTTTTTACGCTGCGTTTACTTTGGCACTTGCTTGGATATAAAATTTAAAATCATACATTTCGTTCCATTAATGACATAAGCATAACATATATGTATGTACCTTTACAAATTATCGCAAGTATGACAAAATAAATTAAAAACAGATTTACAAAAGTCAGCATTTTATTCTATTTGGGGTGGGTAAAAACAGAAATACTTTTTTTTATTGCTAATCGGGTATCTAGAGGTTAAAAAGAAATAGTACAAAATATTAGTTTTTAGCGGCAGAATTTTAAAGTGGTGATGAATTCCCAAATTATCAAAAAAAAAAACACATTTGATATAAAAAAAAATTAATTTGAATTGCTTTTTCTAATATTAGTTTAAAAAAATACAAAAATAAAAGAAAATTTTGATTAAATCAACTTATCCAACCAACATGATATAATTTCTTGGCCACAGGTATAAATGCAGTTAACGCATTGTAAAAAAAGATTCGTTGCCATCGCTATCAATTGAGGTAATTGAGTTTACAAACCATTAAACTGAAAAAGAACAGGTTTGTTCTTAATCTAATTTCATGCGAATCAATATTAAGTCCCCGATTCATCTTGTTTTTTACAAAACATAAAAGATATACAAGAAGATGTAAAACTACTCGATCAATTTTTTCATATGTAGCCAATTCAAAAGAGAAAGCTGAGAAAGAAAAAGCAGTTCTGATTAGTCGAATCCCGACACTGACTTGCATATGCTCATGCATAAGACATAATGATACATTCATATGTGCATACATATCTGTATACATAGACACGCGTATACATAGACACGCGTCAGAGCTCGAGCCACCAATTCTCAGATAGCACGAAAAAAAAAAAAAAAAACAGCTCATGAGTATTGCTTTGTGAAGTTTCCTTATTCTATTCAAATCCGCAAGTATCCCGTGACGTCAAAAATTTGCGCTCGCTTCGCAATTCAAAGTAATAACAAATAACTTACATGTATTTCTGCAAATGGGGGAGTGTAATATAAAAGATTCCACCATCGTCTTTGAGAATGTGAAACCTGTGCACGACATCGGAAATTCAGCTCTCTCTCTCTCTCTCTTTCTGTCAGTTGCTTGCACGATCGTGAACCGACGCTCTCAGTTGCAAGTTCTGAGCTCGGGTTCCCAATGAGCGCGCCTCAGTGTTTTTTGTATCGTCCACGCGAACGGTTGATATTTTCTGATTGTCGATTGGTGGCAAGTACAGACCTGCATATGTATGTATGTATGTCAAGCTACAAATATATTAAAATTGAATTTTCTCTTATCAACGTAAATAGTTCCTACAAGAGTAAAGTAAACAATTAAAGAGACACCTACTTCATCAAATTGCAATGTTTGGGAAAATCGGTGCTTGGCTTGCATTATTGTACATATTCAGCTATAGCGTTCATAATGTGGAGCTGAGAAATATTGGAACAGTGAACAGAGAGAACAAAGGACCGCAATGCGGTTATCCGGTAAGTGATTGAAGTGTTATTATCAGTTTAATCAATCTAATAAGCACAATTGACCTATAGACATGTGTACTATAAGCTCATATATATTTATATATATTTATATAGGCTACTTGTAAGAATCTTTATTGAGCTACACTCACTGGTGATAAGAGCAAAAATTGACAAATTGCAAAAAGGGAATTCAAATAGAATAATTTGTGCAGCTATTGTTTATTTAGCTAAGGGTGCTGATATGGTATATATGTATGTATATTTATATGTATGCAAACTACTTTAAAGACAATAAATAAACTTTGGACAGTATATAATAGATAGATAATCAGATTAAGTAAAGAAGAAAAGACAAAAAATTGAAGGCACTTTGAACGCAATAAAATATTGAAAAAATTTTAATTATGGGATTTTAGAGGAAAACCAACCCAGGATTAACAAAGAATTACTTATGGAAACCGTTAAAATATCACTAACTTAATAATTTAGTTAAAGTTTGACCATGCTTGCCCGGAATTGCGTTTGGAAACGGTTTTAATATCGCTAAAATCAGCAAAAAATACAATAATTGTGCTTGCACTTTTGTAAACAATAAAAGTCGAATTATATTTTGACAACTTTTCCCACTCATTGGAAAAAACTCTTCTACGTATATTGACTGCAGGAATCTTTTAAAAAATTTGACATTTTTCAGAGTTGTCATCCAACGCCACCAGGTATGCTAAATGTGCATCTTATAGCGCATACCCATGATGACGTTGGCTGGCTAAAGACGGTGGACCAATACTATTATGGCAGCGAGACTTTAATTCAAAAGGCCGGTGTCCAGTATATAATCGATTCCGTTGTGCAATCCTTGTTGAGAGATCCGGCCAAGCGTTTCATCTATGTTGAGTCGGCATTTTTCTTCAAGTGGTGGAAGGAGCAAACGGCCGAGTTGCAGGAGAAGGTCAAAATGCTTGTAAATGAGGGAAGGCTGGAGTTTATTGGCGGAGCTTGGAGCATGAATGATGAGGCAACAACGCACTATCAAAGCACAATCGATCAGTTTGCTTGGGGCTTAAGGCAGGTGTCAAATTACAGGCGTCAATACTTGTAATATAATTTGTAATGCAAAAGCGTCCTTTTTTAGACTACTAAATGATACCTTTGGGGAATGCGGTCGTCCGCGTGTTGGCTGGCAGATTGATCCCTTTGGACATTCGCGAGAGATGGCATCAATGTTCGCCCAAATGGGATTCGATGGCATGTTCTTCGGTCGCCTGGATTACCAGGACAAGGACGAGCGTCTGATGATGCAGAAGGCCGAAATGATTTGGCATGGCTCAGCAAACTTGGGTAATGTTTAAAATACAATTTATACGAAGTCATTATTAATTATTTACCATATTATTTGCAGGTGATAAATCGGATTTGTTTACGGGTGCCTTGTACAACAATTATCAAGCACCCGCTGGCTTCTGTTTCGATATACTCTGCGCGGATCAGCCAATTATCGATGGCAAGCATAGTCCAGATAATAATGTCAAAGAGCGCGTAAGTGAAAAGTTTTCCATAATTTCTTGTCTGTCCCCCAACTCCGTTCTCATATATGAATTGTGTGCTCGCTTTTGTCCTTTTCCTGTTTCACATAATAATACTGCATCAGGTTAATACGTTTTTGGAATACGTGAAAACTCAAAGCAGATATTATCGCACCAACAATATCATCATAACAATGGGTGGCGATTTTACCTATCAAGCTGCTCAAGTCTATTACAAGAATTTAGACAAACTAATACGGTAAATTAACAAAAGATTATAAAGATTACTTTTTTTTTGCCTACTGTTAACGAAAGCCTCTTAACCATATGCATCCATTTATCCATTTATCAAGTTGTTTGTTTAAGTAGTAATTAGTAATAATGAGAGTAAATGCTTTTGTTGTGTGTAGATCGATGCATTCTTTGAGTTTGTCACTAAGATGGCCAAAGGATATCGAACATCCAACTTACTTATTACTATGGGTGAGGATTTCCATTACCAAAACGCTGAAATGTGGTATAAGAATCTGGATAAACTTATTAAGTGAGTAGCGTTAGAGGCTTTCCTTAACCAAATTGCTTAAATTACGTTTATATACACACCCTGTAAAAAATAAGTGCTGTAAATTTTGAACTTTAAACTGTTATTGCAATTTGCGAGTATTGTGCAACGAGCAACCAACAATCTCGATCGATTTACTCGTTATCAACGATATGGCAGCGCTGCAAAAAGGAATCCGACATAGCTATTTGCGAAAACAAAAATATTGTTCTGTGAAAAATGAAAATTTAAAAATATTTATTATAATAAATATATATAAATCTAAATGCTATCGACTAGTGCTAAGACCATTCACTGTTGGACCAAAACTGAAAATGGAGGATCCCCTGGCGTTGCCAGATGCACAGCGTTGCCAAAAAGGCCAAACATTATTGCTAACAGCTGAAATTAACGGTAAACAACTTACAAATATTTCAAATAATTGATGTATAAACGTAGTTTTAGTAAGCCAATACGTAAGTGAATGGAAATTATTTTTGGAGGAGGCATGCTCTTTAATTCTCTATTCGAAACATTTAGGTATGCAAATGAGCGGCAGGCAAATGGGTCGAATATTAATTTGCTATACTCGACGCCGTCGTGTTACTTGAAATCGCTGCACGATGCTGGCATTTCTTGGCCCACCAAGAGCGACGACTTCTTTCCCTACGCATCGGATCCACATGCCTACTGGACAGGGTACTTTACGTCGCGTCCGACTTTGAAGCGATTCGAGCGTGACGGGAACCATTTCCTTCAAGTGTGCAAGCAGCTGACCTCACTGGCTCCCAAGCGATCGGCTGAGTTTGATCCGCACTTGAATTTCATGCGCGAAACAATGGGCATAATGCAGCATCACGATGCTGTAACGGGCACGGAGAAACAAAAGGTCGCCTTGGACTATGCGAAACGATTGAGTGTCGCTCTACGCGCCTGCTCCACAAACATGAGATCTACATTAAATCAACTATCGTCAGGAAAGAATCGTAGCACTGCGGTGCCAGCTGCATTGGAATTTAAAACATGCACATTGCTCAATATCAGCAGTTGTGCTCTATCCGAGACAAACACTCGATTTGCACTCACACTCTACAATCCACTGGCCCACGAAACCGATGAATATATCCGCATACCCGTTGCGGACTACAAATATGCTGTCCTTGATCCTACAGGTGAGACTGCGATACACCTTATTGTAAAAACATACTCCATTTATTATTCCATATTCCTAGGCAAAAGTTTGCCGACTCAAGTAGTGCCTGTGCCCAACGCTGTGGCCAAGATTAAGTACAGAAGATCGATTGCTCAGTACGAGCTCATTTTCTTGGCAGCCAAACTGCCAGCTGTTGGCTACAGGACCTATTATATTGAGAAACCAGATATCGCTCCCGATGACCTCAAACCCGGTCCGGCGCCAAAGAAGACATCCAGCTTAACACGTATTGGAAACGGAGTAAATGAAAATTTTATATAAATTTGCTCACTAATAATTGATTGATTTACCTAATAGAATATTAAATTGACATTCGACACCAATGGCTTCCTCTCCGAAGTCACAGCCGATGGCATGACGCGTCAGCTTTCCCAGGAGTTTCTGTATTATGAAGGTGCCATTGGCAACAATGCGGAATTCCTCAATCGCTCCTCGGGCGCCTACATATTCCGTCCTAAGGCGGACAAAGTGTTCTTTGCGTCAGATCGCGTCGCCATTGAAGTGTACAAGGGTCCGTTGGTGCAAGAGGTGCATCAGAAGTTCAATGATTGGGTCAGCCAGGTGGTGCGCATCTATAAGCAGAGCAACCACGCTGAATTCGAGTGGCTGGTTGGACCTATTCCCATTGAGGACCACATGGGCAAGGAAGTAATTACTCGCTTCAAGTCAGACATTGAGTCCGATGGCATATTTTACACAGATTCAAATGGTAGGCGGACAAGCTTTTATTTATTTAGACATTTCATCTAATTCCCTTCTCAAAGGTCGTGAAATGTTGAAACGCCAGCGAAATCATCGCGAAACCTGGAACGTAAAGCTACAGGAAAGGGTCTCTGGCAACTATTATCCGGTCACTACGAAAATTGCATTGGAGGATACAACAGCACGCATGGCCATCCTGACGGACAGGGCTCAGGGTGGCAGCTCATTGCAGGATGGTGAATTGGAATTGATGGTGCATCGACGTTTGTTACACGATGATGCGTTTGGTGTGGGCGAAGCTCTCAACGAAACCGAATTCGGCGAGGGACTGATTGCCCGTGGTAAACATCATTTGTTCTTTGGTCAGTCTGATCGACGTCCAGGTGTTTCTCTAAAGGCAATGGAACGTCTTCTTCAGCTGCAGACCTTGCTACCCGCCTGGAAGTTTTTCAGCAATATGACAGCATACAGTTCCGATCAATGGCTTACTTCGTTTACAAATACAGTTAGTATTCCCCATGAATTCGCATAATCAGTATTAATTAAATATGCATTGTAATTTCTAGTTTAATGGTGTATCAGTGATCCTACCAAAAACAGTGCACTTGCTCACATTGGAGCCGTGGCATGAGAACGAGTTACTTGTCCGATTTGAACATATATTGGAAAAAGATGAAGATAGCCGATATTCGAAATATGTTCAATTTAATATAAAGGATGTGCTAGCTGCCTTTAATATTGAAAGCATTCGCGAGACGACTCTCGATGGCAATGCCTGGCTAGATGAGCATCGACGCATGGAGTTTGTGCCCGATCCCGAGGAAGAGTCTTACGACGCCTATGGCACATTCGCGAAGACATCGGGGGCCGTCCACTTGCTGGAAGCCGCCAAACCTCTACTGGAAGCCAAATATTCGAAGGAAGCCTTGAAAGCCGGAGAATTGGGTGCGGAAAGCAATCGGCTTAAGCGTAATGCTGACTCCGGACATTTTATATTACATAAGAGACGATCGCAACAGGTCCGCGCAGATAATGTTAATGAGAATGTTGTACCAAAATCAAATGACCGTGAACAGTTTCTTATAGAGCTAAGTCCAATGGAGATACGCACTTTTGTCGTATATTTATCAAAATAGCATAATGATCACTAATCTAATTGTATCAATTGTTATGTAGGTACGCTCAATTGTAGAACATAAAAGAGTTTGTGCATTCAACAACGCTTGTCTCTTAAACTTAACTCGCAATTATCTCCCTCAATGGAAGCCCAGTTGGGAAGTTCTGTGGTATACTCCCAGCCAATACCCTGTAATTACAAATGGTTGCATAAGCATCTCAGATTACAATATAATAAAATAGGTCTTACTTTGTATTTCCACGCATGCAGATACATAACGAGATCTGCCGGCTTTGGATCCCGATAGTTCATCCTACATTCTTGGCAATGCGGGTCTACAGATAGCTTACTGTGATCAAAACTACAATCAGCGGCCTCATGACCAGTTTGTGTGGAAACAGTAACCTAAACGATGAAAACCACATTAGTGTAAACAAAAGCACTGCGAGTGATATCAAAACAATTATTACCTTAGCTTCAGGAGATGACTTAATTTCAGTTTTTAATTCAGAATTAGAATCAGTGTTAGCCAGCCTGCTGACAGTATTTTCCGAGACTTTGAGCGATTCATTCGTGGAGACTTCGCGAGCACCATCAATACCCAACCAGTTTTCGGCGTTGTGTATGGAAATCAAATCGCGTATTAGCTGATCATCAGATTTGCCTCCAATATCACCACCGCGTCCCTTCAAGGGTCCAAACACTTCGTGATTATATAAGGGATCGTTGACAATCGGATAGCCTGTCGAAATAAATAGTTGAATTCAAGTCACATCCTAAAGTAAACATTTCTGCTCACCTAAATATTGTAGGTGCACGCGGATCTGATGCATGCGTCCAGTCAACGGTTTGCACTGCACAATGCTATAGTCGCCAACTTGCCCCAGTCTCTTGAATGTGGTTTTGCAATCCTTGCCCTTTGGCGACACCTTGCAGACTCCAATTTTATAGCTAACCACTTCAATCGGTTCATTGCACTCGATATTGCCACTGAAATGAAAATAGATGGTTTTATAATATTTTGACTTACAGAAGGAATTATAACTTTGTCCAACAGCATGAACAATATAAATAATAATGAAAAAATAAATTAATAAGAGAGTCAATAGAATAGTCTTGATAAAGTCGCTGAGTACATAAATAAAGGTCAGCATTTCTGATACAATACGTGAAATATTCAGTTACAACAAGAAAATTTATGAAACACTTATTAATAGGTTAACCATACTCCTAGGAATTTGCTCGTGTTAACACAGATATTTTCATTGATGTACTAGATAAAGATTGCTATTAATCCACACTCTTCCACTGTCAAATGTAAATCACACTTTGCATGAGATCTACACAATCTCAATTGACATTGTTTTACAATCGGAAAAAATCAGATATCTTTATATAAGTCAAATGTAGTGCTTACTCGGGAAAACAGCCCTCCACACAGCAGACATATTCCTTTTGTACTTGTCTATTTCGTATTTGTTGCTCCATTTCACGTGCCTTCTCAGCTGTGCGTCCAAACAACAAAAGTCCTGAAGTTAGCCGATCTAGTCGGTGTATCGTACGCAGATTCCTCATGTTGAACTCCTTGGCCAGTATGAAAATCATCGTATTGTGTCTGTAACGCCCACATGGATGAACCTAAAGATACATATGAAAAGTTTAACAATTCTTATTAATAGTTTTAAAATTAAGCTTACGGGTATTGACGCAGGTTTGTTCACAACTAAAATATCATCATCCATGTGGACTATCGTAATGGGGTGTGCCGTAACCGGAACTTCATGCCTGCAAAAATTCAAAGATTAGTCCACAAATGAGATATTAAAGATTGGCTAATAAATACCTGTGGACTGTATTTGCAAGCAGATCGTTGTGCTTCAGCCGGTAGTCAATGGGCACCTTCTCATGGTTGACGGTTAGGGAGCCAGCCTCAATGCTGCGCTTATATTCCTCGGCGGGATGTGCACGAAATTCCCGTGAGAATACATTGAGAATCCCCTCGCCGACCCATCGTCCCTTCGTGAACGTTGTAAATGTAAAAGAATAAGGATAGACCTTTCGCAAGCCTTCAATTGCGTTTCACTTTGCTGTTCATAATATATATATAGAATGCTTAACTATTGCCTACCATTCTCTATGTAATACGACGTCTCCTCATAACGTTCCTCGCTAAAACCGGGTCGTGTCAGTTTCAGATCTTTTGTCTCCAATTTGGGCCTCTTTGCGTCCACAATCTCTTCCACCTGGGGCGTCTTTCGTTTTTCTGGCAAATGTACGCCTGATTCCTCAGCAACAGTCGCCAGCTAAAATGAAAATGTTTGAGTCGGGCAATTAAGGTATGCAACATCGATGCAACAGGTATCACTTGGAATCACACTACGGGTCATTTGACAATCCTTGAACTATAGTTCAGGCAATAGTAACTAATCTAATGCTGATTGTGCTTTATAACTAATTCGCATTTAACTGATTAAAAGTCCATATACTTTTAAGACCCCGGAATTGTTATATCTAGTTGTTTTGTATTATTATCAAGTGCGTTTTATTATATTGAAATCTCCCCCGAGAATATTGATATATAATATAATAAAATACATTGTATATATTATTATCGATCTTACAGGAACGTATTTTCATATAGATATCTTACTATATTCAATCAAATTTGGCAATAAAACTAAAGGAATATTTTTAACAGCTGGGTACAGGGTACCTCGTAGTCGAGCTCACTCGACAGCAGCACTTCTTTTTAAATGATTCAAATGATCTAAATTTCTTTTTATAAATTGACATGCTGCAAATGCAATCAAATTCAAACTGGCATGCAGCAGCTACGACATGGGCAGAAAAGTACAAAAACCACGCAAAATTATGATTACCTTTATTCGTTAGCCCAAATATCCCTAAGGAGGAACACATTGTGACGAAACTGCGCAAACGAATTGTGAACATTTTGTTTCATCTTGGAAATACTAGTGATATTTGTATTTGGTGATTTTCTTGTTGCCAAGCAGTAACTTAAGCAATTATGCGCTATTTGATTAATGCAAATTTGCAAATAATTGCACTTGTATTTTGTTTAAATGGGAAAAATATAAACATTCACACAAACAAATAGCAGTCTGAAAACCGAGTTCGAAATTCTTTTCCCTTTTTTGTTTGCTTGTTTTTTCAAATCAAATTAATACGTTTGTTTAGCGAAATAGTTGAATTATTTGTTTGTAAATAAATAAGAAATTGCATTCGCTGTCTGCAAACAATATTCATTTGATTTCAAATATTTATTATGGGGGCGTATTCAATTGCTCGATAGCAACCGAATTTCAAATGACTATTAAACGAGGTCTTTGGCATAGTAAAATGTAAATGAAGTCGCATATTAAAGTAAACGTACATCACAAGTTTCAAGTTCTTTTATGACGCGGGCTTATCAAAATGTAGGTTCAAGGAGCTCCTTAAATGACACAGTGGTGGGTGGTAGTAAGACGCAAACTCTGCTGAAAAAAAATACTTACAGATACGAGAAAGGAAGAAAAAGAAGCAGTTAAACAACTGCAGGAAAAGTAATAGGAGGCAACGTAACAAACCCAAATTGTCATCATAAAACAGTGGTCTGCAATCGTGTCTTGGAGGAAGAGCGAAGGAACAGGCACACACACACACACACACACAGACCAGACCAGACCAGGCCAGGCCAGGAGGAGTACCCAAAGGAATGCTCAGAGTGAGCCGGAGTGAATAAAACTGCATTCAAAACAAAGAAAAGAAGCTAGAATAATAAAAAGTGTGCTGGTAATAGTTGCACATGCACCACCAATACATTCACACATTTGACATCTCCTTCTATTTTAATGTCGAGACACGTTCCTTATTTCAATAGCACACACACATACAGACACACACACACACAGAGACAAATTTAAATGCAAGTGACACAATAGGCGCATAATGGAAGACAAAAAACATTTAGAGCAATTTACTTTTAAGCAGCATAGCGATACACCTAGTTAAAAACAGAAGGAAAAAACAGGAAAAATGGAGGAGGCGGCAGTGCTGATAATTGCGGAAGCGTCAGGTTGGCCAACTTGACAAGACGCTAGCTCCTCCTCAGCTATCAACAACAACAACAGCAACAACAAGGAAGAAGGAACAACAACGACAACGTTGACGATAACACGAAGAGCGTCGAAAGCACCCTTCAAAATGAACGACCAGAAAGGAAAGGCAAAATGAGAAATAATTATGCCAAATCCGCGGTTAAAATATGAAGGTAAACGAGACACACACACACAACTACACACACACACACAACTGCACACACACACACAACACACACACACACAGAGACAGTTAGCCATAAGCTGTATCGTTAGCCGAGCCAAACAAAGGTAATCCTTGTAACTAAAATGGCTCTTGTTGCGGTGAACGAAATGTGTATGAGTTTATTTAGTAGAGGTTGGCATAAGCTATATAATTAGTGTTGTAAGACTGCATATATATATATATATATATATATATATATACAGAAATCTTGTTGCCTTGCTAAACACCAGCAACTGCTCTCAAATTCCTTGGCATATATGCAAAACCTGCAAAACCAGTTGACAGGAATAAAGGATTCAACTATGTATTTCCTGCGTAGCCAGTCGCAATGAGATATTCATAAAGCTTCGATCGGATTTTGTTTGGCTTGCAAAAGCCATTTAAATATGTAAATCTCTCGGTGAATTTTGATAAATATTCAAGTTTGTTGTCCTCGAACAATTTGAATTTGAGAAGAATAGAATAGAATAAAATAGGACAAAGTTGATGCTGCACTGCTTTCATTTATACACTCATAAAGAGAGTGTGGAGGGGTTATCGACTTGTAAGGAAGCTCTTAATCGATTACAAATTAATTGGATATAAACACAAAATTAAATAAATTTACAATAAAAGTGAGAAGTGAGATAAGAAGAAGTAATACTCCAATTAATTCTATCTCATATAGTAGTTAAAATACTTTTTGTCACGAATCTTGGCCTACCATCTTTTGTAGCATACTTTTTTTTATATATATTTTTAGACATATACATATATGTATATCTAGTTTATACCATGCTTCTTATTTGTATTATTTGTATATTTACATACATAAATCTATATTCGTATACAAAAAACGCGTACGCATTTGAAAAACATTTAAAACTTTGCTCAAATAACCTTGTTCTCATTGCTTGCAGAATTTTATGCATTTCGATATAAATCATTGAAAAGTATGAACATTAAATAAATAAAATACATGTACAGACATGTGTGTGAGTTTTTCAAAATTTAAAACAAACATATTGAAGACCTATTTAAAAAAAATGAGTTTGGAAAAATCGCACTTATTTTAAACTTTTGCCAAAAAACAATCTTAGAGAATGATTATGCACAATGCGCCAGATTGTCATTTGTTTGGCAAAAATTCAAAACATTTTTGGAAATAAATTCGAATTTGAGTTAACTTTTTGAAAAATCATACTTTAAGTATAATATATGTATAAATATAATCAGTATTACTACAACTCAGAGTTTTTTTTTTGTCTTTTAAAAACGGAGAAAAACTTTTGTCATCTTTTGTCTATTTTTTTTATACATCTCGATTAAAAGCTAAGGGTTAATCTAGAAATGAACAAGTGTAAATAAACATATTTATTTATATCTGCATACGTATGTATTCTGTAGGGAATAAAACATATCACGTTTCTATGCATTAGAATAATAGAGAGAGTAACAGTAAAGCAGAGATGCCGTAATTAGTTTTTCCATTCAAAAACATTAACAAAGGGACACTCAGGCTCGGAAGCAAACTGAACTTTTATTGTCTATGTTGACGTTTTCATAAAGTTATTACAAAACGCACAGAAGAAATGCAGCACAGTCGATGCATAAATTGTGTGTTGTTTAAGTTAAATTTCTAAATAGTTACAAATATAAAATGGCGAAATCGATTTCTTTGCGTTGATGAGCCAAATAAATGTTGATGTTCCCTCGAGACTTTCTCGTTATTCCTTCCCATCTTCTCTAAATCATTCCTTGAATGAACCGCTTCAAGTACTATGTAATGATTACAAATAGACTTTATCACATAATCAATTCAGAGTCCCATCTATTTCTATCATTAAGACCTCTATTTTAGACGTCTTGTCTCAAGATTAACATTTTCGCATGCATTGCTGGCTGGGTATCGAACTATTTTTATCCTTAATCTCCATAAAATTAATTTAATTTAAACGTTTTTTTAAACTTTAAATATCTCCTCTTATAAAAATATATATATTTTTAGTTTCTAATTTAAATTAATATATTATTATTTCGTATTATTGCTTAATTCAGCTCAAAAAGAAATAAAAAATAATTAAATCAAATTAGTTTAGCTTACTTGACTGCCGCAATCTTCTTCGCTGGCTTCAAAAGTCCAAACGCCGCTCAAAGAATTTGGTTTTTCCGCTTTGGCTTCATTATCCGCTTCAGTTTTAGCGCCAGTCTCATTTTCAGTTTCAGCTTCAGCCTCAGCCGCATTCGTTGATGAGCCGCCGCCGGCATTGTTTGGGCTGTTTAAGTTGGCCCGGAATAGAAAAATGTTCTCCACGTCGACGGAGCCGTCACCGTGCTGAGTTTGGACATGGCGCAGGGTTTTGGGCAGTGTCATTGTTGGCCAACACAGTAGCGTGGTATTTGTGGCCCTGACTTTGAGTTGCGCGGCGTTCAGCAAACGTCTCCTAATGAATAAATTAAACCACTGCAAACAAAAACAAAAAAAATCAACACGTGTGCGGCAGCCAAATAAAAAATAAAAAACGAATACACTATGCACAGTAAATGAAGAAATCCATGTAAAACTGTTTTACACTGTCTGCCGTTGAGCACTTGCCAGGCGAATTGTGTTGTCCGCGTAGCGCAAATACTTCATCAAGTATTTAAATAAATATTTATCTTATTCAATGCAAAACAATGCAAGCGAGTTCGCTAAAGTAGTTCCGATTATTATTTTGGTGAGCCAGCAATTGAACTAAGCGAACTAGCGGAATCGGTTTATCAGTTCATTCTGTTCAATTTGAATACCTTGTAAACAAACTGAGTAGATGGGGTATATTGATTATTGGATTATAAAAATATAAATATAATTAACATGTGATTTGCTTACAATTTATGTATATTAATGAGGTTTAAATTGCTTATGCAAATTTAAGTGATTTTTTTTTACATGATATGTTAGGCAAACAGAAATACTACGTCTGTGAATAAGAAATATGAGTGGAGTGAGCGCATTTCTACTCAGTAATTTTATTTTTTTAAGCGCAAAGCATTCGCACACCGCTCAGCTCAGTGTGGAGCTAAAATTAAAAGCAATCAACAATAGATGGCGCTTTTGATTAGCCAATTAGAGGTGTCTTATCAAAAGTGATAGTATTGATTGTCACTGATGCAGATATTGATGGGCGTGTGTTGATATTCCAAATGAGTGAAAAGAGTATGTTTCCTGAGGGAGAGAGAGAGAGAGAGAGAGAGAGGTAGGCTGAGGGAAACTGTTCCGTCCTGTGACGCTTGACCAGGGCAATTACCCCTGCGATGTCCGTGTCAATTTTTTTTGTGCCATAATTTTCTGCCCATTAAAATAATTGTTTTTTTTCATTGCATAAAAATGTTTTCCGTCAATTTTATGACTCGCATTTTGTCATTTACCTGATGAATATCTAAATAAAATGCTAATTTTTGGTTACATTTTTGAAAATTACAAATAAAAATACTTAATTTAACAGAACAGCACAATTTTTGCACGAAAAGGATAATAAATTTCTGAAGGAAAAAATCGAACATTTTCTCAAATACTTTTCTCTTGCACACAAAGCAATATTTATTTGTACAAAAGTTTCTTCTACAAGTTATCTTTATATACAAATATTTTTTCTATAATTAAGACTCTGCCAAACTTATACGAAAAACAAATGAAGCATTTCGGGGCTTACTAAATAAATTCGTTTCAGATTTATTTAATATCTTGTGCTGATGAAATTAAGAATCCTTTCCAATTTAACTAATAATAAATTGTAAGTATTAGTCCTAGAAAACTTTTGTACAATGAATTATTAAGAATATAATATAAGAATTTAATATATATTTATTTGTGATCTAACGGAAATGACATTGTAACTTGCATGGTTATTTATAAGTGCATTCTAGAAACGTAAGAAAATCAAAATATAAAATTAATAAATAAATAAAATAAAATGTGAAAAACACACTGTGACAAGTTCTGTTTAAATTCCTTGTTTATAGACTCTTCATTTGGAACAAACGGATTTTCTTACAAATATTAAATGAAAATAAATCGTAGATTTCTATTAGTTATTGGGTTTTATTTTTGTAGATATGAAATGAAAATAAATCGTATGTTTCTATTAGTTAATTCTTCAGTCAGTATTATCATTATTGGGGTTTCTATATACACACATATATCAAATGAAAATAAATCGTATGTTTCTATTAGTTAATTCATGGTCAGTATTATCATTATTATTGGGTGCGTTTCGCAAAACACACCTAGACTTCTATACTATATATGATTCTTATATATGTATGTATGTATGTATGTATGTATGTCATGTATATATATGTATGTATGTGTATACACGTGCATTTGTATATAGGAATCCGCACACAATATTGTTTGTAAACACGCAGTAGTCACTGGGTAGGTTTTACAGTTTGTATAGTTTTTTGTATGTTTTTTTTTTTGATGAGGAAGCGTGATGTCGTCATTTCTGGCTTTTTGTCCAGGCGAAAAGTCAATTTACCGCACATACATACAAACATAAATCTACACACACTACACACTAAAAAAAAATGTGTGTGTAATCGGTGAGTGCGCACACCTACAAAATATCGTGCTGATTTAATCACTTTCTTCGCTGCCAGCAGCAAATGCCAACTTTTACTCTCATATGCACGCACACGCCCACAACAACCCCACGTCGCCCCCTTTACGTCTATGGTTAGGAAAGACTTAGAGCCTTATGGCCACTGGCCATTAAATGTTGCCCTAAATAAGGGGCAAGCCTTTTTTGGTCGCCTTAACCTGAGTTGTGGGTTTACAGAAGGATGTTGTAGTTTCGTGACCGAGTGCTTTTCAAGGAGAACACTACACACACACAGAGAGAGACGGACAGAGAGAGAGAGAGAGAGAGAGTGAGGGGTAGAAAGAGAGGGGGGTGGGTATTGTCGCTGGGTTTTTGGAGAGTACAGGTGGGTTAAACTAGTCACGCAGTCGGACATGCAATAGAGTCGCGCTCCTAGTCGACTCGACTAAACTATATAGACCATATTTTTGGTCGGCTTCTATTTGGGAGACATTTGGCGAAGGGCCGCCAAATGGATTACGTCAGATCATCACAGAAATTATTATACAGTAATTTGATGTTTACCGTACTGTAATGCTGACAATCCCAACATCAATATTTTCATTTTCATGCTTTAAACTTATAGTGCTAAAGTCAATAAACACTAAAGTAAATCATAATTGTCATAAAAATGTTAATTTAAAATGTATACAGTAATAATAATGTTTACAATTCTTTCATATTGATTATTCGCACAAACACAGGAAAAATTGCTTTATAATTATTTCTTGCTTAGAATACTCACATAAATTAACTACTTAATATTATGAACAATATTACTTTAACCAAATGCATTGGTAATTATATTCATATTTCATTTCTATTTATATTTTAATCTTATTTAAATACTTACAATAAGTTTTAAGCTTGTGGCGCTAGAATAAATAAATAATATATTTGAATATGATATGATGCTATTTTTTTTGGCAGTTCCATATTTAAATGTGGGATTCACAACGTTTAAATTTTTCAACTTAACGTAAACACTAAATTAATGTCTAAATTTAGGATAAACATTTTTTTCTGAAGATTATAAGTTAATGACTTTCAAATAAATGCCACAAAATAAGATTTGTTTAGAAATCATTAACTTAAAATCATCAGAAAAATGTTTATTCCTAGTTTTTACAGTAATGCAATGTTTACATAAGGCTGGTCGAAACTTAAATGTTGATAGTCCCCTCATCATATGCCAGTATGTGATTATTCTTTTGATGCATTTATTTAATAGTCATAAAGCATTTTATTTTTCAAAGTCAATATTTAAATGGCTTTTAGGTCTCAGATGTCTCGCCAAATACCGCAGTCAAATAATTATACGTTAATGATCTTATTTCCAATTTTAACAAGAGTTGAAAGATTTGCAATAGTTTTCGGTAAGCATTTTTATTGAACGAACTTCATAACATTTATGTAAGAAAAAAATGTAAACAAAAACTAGCTCCATAGTAAATAATTATTTTCTCATTTTTTTTTCAATTTCATGTTTAATTATCTTACAGATAATGTTATTCATTTCAACCATTAATATTAATAGTTAATAGTTTACCAGACAAAAAAACAATTAACACTTTACAATTTACAAATATAATAATAATACAAATTTGGCGAAACTGAAATTTTGAAGTGACTAACAGCATTAGAGGGTTAATTTACAAATTCATTTGAAAAATTTTCGAAATATTTTCTAATTTATGGATGTTTTATGTTTGAGAATTTGTAGTAGTATAAACAAATAAATACTGGAAGCAAACAGGAAACGAGACTTGAGAACTTGAGCATTTTGTGTTAACTAAAGGAAATCGAACACCAAAAGATTTCAATGTCAACCTTAACGAAGGTCAAGCAGTCAGAGCCAGTCGTCAGACCAGTGGCCCCCTGACCCTCTGACCTGCACGTTCCACGTTGCTACAGCAATATAAAAAATAATTGCAATATAATTACAAAGCGAATGTGGGTCAACATAAACCAACTCGTATTTAGACCAAAGAGACCGGTGTACAAACATGAACATTTCATATTTCGAAAGTGACATTTGTGCTATTTGCCCGGAATCGATTTTGAGAAAGCTCAACAATCTTTGATAGTATCAAATTCTAGATGTGTTCAATGAGCCCAGTTTAATGGTTAGCCTTATTTGTTAATTATACACTCAAGAGCGAGAGAGAGCGAGATAGAGAGAGAGAGAACGAGAGAGTGACATAGATATTGACGTCTGTCTATACGTAGAATACCTATAATATATATTTAACACACGTATATATATATATATATATATATATATATATATTTGTGTAGTACAGTCGCGTGTATTTGTGTAGTAAGAATATCTAAACATCGTGTAGATCCCGCACGGAGATGAAAGATTTGCCCTGTGCAACTAAATCATGAGGAATTTAATTTTTGTTGGGCCCAAGCCAAAAATATTCTTTTGTTTCACGTAACAATATGAAAGTTTCATCAAAATTAAACATTGATATGTATGTGTCGCTCACATACACATAAATACATGTATACTGTGAGTAAACAAGTAATGGTAAGTGAACGCACATTTCTATAATATAAATATATATATATGTATATATTTATACAAATATGTGCCATGAAAAATTCTTGTTTATGGGCCTAAGCTAAGAATTTATAATACACACTTTTAATAAACCACAATAAACACAAAAAATCCGGCAAAGACATATAAAAATTGTGTGTGTTTTTTTTATTATATCAAAGCCATTCATGTTTTAATTATCTTATTTTACATACCAGACCCATTAGAATATATTATGGTGTACATATATATTTTTCGTCTACAAGTTTAGCAATGCAAATGGTTTGCATTGTCAGCAAATTTAATTTATTAATTTAGTATATATATCTAAATAGAACGGAAAATTCTAAAATTCTACATACAAAGTCTAATTTAAAATGTACATTTAACATATATATGAGCATCAGACATCTGCAGCGATGCACTGCAAGAAAAGTTATGTTTCTTTGTGTTCACCTATCTCAACTTTCTCTTTAATTTTGCTTTTAGAGAGCGTATGCAATCCTTTCACCAACAAACTTCTCTCTTCAATAATGATGCT